GAACCCTATCTCCATCAGTTTTACAGCCACAACTGCTGCGGCGTAAGCTGGCGCAATTGTCGTGGTGGAAGAGGACTTTTTTGTGGACGTTTCTCTAGCAACTCGTTTTTCAACACGATCCAATGATGATGATAATATTCGCCTGTAATGGTTTTACCCTTTTCCAGATAGTGATGAAGATTATTCCTTGCGAATTCCCAAAGACAGTCGCCATAACCTTCCCAGCCGAAGGAATTGCCTTCGCCTTTTTCGGAGCAGATTCCCCCTTGGTAACCCATTGTTTAGACTGTTCTTTGGTCTCAGGAGTATAGTGATGTATCCATATTTCATCTACAGTGATGAAACGACGCTTAAAGTCTTGTGGATTTTGCTGGAACAGCTGCAAACCATTCTTGCAACACTTTCTCCGATCTCGTTTTTGGTCAATCGTGAGCAATCGCGCACCCATCTAGCAGATAGCTTTTTTTATGTTCAAATGTTGGTACAAAAATATTATGTACCCGTTCGCTCGAGATGCTTACAGTACTAGCAATCTCACGCACCTTCACTCTTCTGTCAGCTATCACCATATCATGGATTTTATCAATGATTTCTGAAGTGGTAACCTCAACAGGGCGTCCAGAACGTTCAGCGTCTTTTGTCCTCATATGGCCACTCCGAAAATTTTGAAACCACTTATAAACCATTCTAATCGAAGGTGCACAATCACCATAATGTTTATCAAGCTTCTGTTTAATCTCCTGAGGCGTTTTGCTTTTGAAAAAGTAATGTTTAATCAATACACGAAAGTCTTTTTCGTCCATTTTTTTACAACCACTTGATTTCTTTGATTGAAACGAATGTAAAACGCAAAGTAATTGGCCGATCTGGCTGAAACTTGGTGTGTGCTCTTCCAAGATATGCCACTAACTAAAAATAACCTTGATACGCACTAGTAGCGTCATCTCTGTGACTTTGCACGGACTTTTCAAACGACCCTCGTAAGTTAGGGACAGTATTTTTCCACATGAGAATCGGAAACAAGCGGCAAAGGTGCGATTCGGAAGTTAGAATACGGAAAAATAACTTAGTGTATGCATTACAAAGTAATTATCGCTATAACATGTTTTTACTATGATTAGTTGCTGCTTGTCTTCTCGTTAGTCAATGACGCTAAGAAGACGTAATAACATTTTACAACTCGAGATATCATCGACCTTAGCAACTACGTACCGTAAATTTGTTTTCTGGGTCTTTGATACCAGAACTAGTTACGGCCAGAAATTGCACCAGCATGGACAACGATGTCCGCTAAAGTAGTAATAATATCGCTGCCGAACGTTCTGCGATAAATTGCCTAGAAGGTTGCTAGTACGTTGCCGGTACGGTTGTTGGATTTGAATTTTGGAAACATACAGGGTGCTATTTGTAAAGTTAATTAATAAAATAACTTTCATTCAAAATGGTCAACTGAAAAGTTCTTATAAGGTTCTCGATCAATTTATCCAATAAATGCCATAATCTTTCTTGCAAATGGCAGACAATCATTAGGGTAAGTATGTACATATATGCTTTCAAACTATGTATTACAAGAAAATACGTTACCAACTATAAATAGACATTTATTAATACTTTATTTATTAATAAGCATTTTGAAATGCGCTCGTTTCAGCTACGTACTCAGCACGTTTCCGAAATTCGCATCCGCAACGTAGCGATAAATTAGGTAATTGTTGCATAATGTTCCGGCAGCAGTATGTTTGGTACTCTAGCGGACATTGTCTTCACACCGATACGTATCCGGGCTGTACCCCCTTTAGTATCAAAGTTTCAGAAAGGAGCTGTCGGCACGTAGCTATTACGGTCGTTGTTATCTAGGACTTAAAGAAAAAACCCTATACAGCATTTTAAAGAGTCTCAAAGATGGATAATTTTATAAAAACACTGTAACAAGGGTATATTTGGTTTATTTTTATTCCTATCTAGATAAATTTCTTAGGAGTGTTATTATTAGGTGATGAATGTTAAGACGAACAAACGGCTTGGGTGTTAGGAGAAGTGGCACACCTCGAATCAATTTGTCGAAATAATATTGTACGCGCCGGGGCAGCGGAAAAGAACAATAGCCGCGCTAATAAAAAGTGTAACAAATAGACGGGCGCATTCGGCGGCACCAATAGCTAATAAGCCGTAACCGCGCTCGCGCGCATAGCTCTCTGGATGATGGTCGGCCAGATAACAACAAACAAACGAGAGAGAAAAGGAAAAAAAGCAAGGTATACAGGATAGATTGCGTGCAGCATCTCCGAGGCAGGTAGCGAGGCTTTATCTGCTCTTTCGCTCTCTCTCTCTCTCTCTCTCTCTCTCTCTCTCTCCTCTCTCTCTCTCTCTCTCTCTCTCTCTCTCTCCTCTCCTCTCTCTCTCTCTCTCTCTCTCCTCTCACCTCTCTCTCTTCTCTCTCTCTCTCTCTCTCTCTATTCACATTTCCCGGGACGCCTCTTTAGTATTTCCATCGCGCTTGCAGCTCTCCCTATATTATCTCTCGCGGCGCAATTTGTATTCACGTTTTCGTCCCGATATGCAGCGGCTCTCATGTGGCCGCGAGGGCGAGGAGGTAGACCTACCTCGAGAGCGGACGTTCGGGGACTCCCGCGCGCAAGCAAAACTGGTGGTTTATCTCTTGATTAAATTTGTCAGCTGCCTGCCTTCGCAGCCCAGCTCGGCATTTAAACTTTGAAAGCTCCGCGCGCGTACATGAGTACGGAGAGTTTTGCGCGACGGCCAGGGGATTTCGCAGCTTGATTTAAATTTTGAAAAACATTGCGCTACTCTACGACGCGCGCGCCTGTATCGCGATCGCGGGGAGCGGAACGTTCGGTGTACGGCCCTGCCCAGAGCCTTGCTAGTTGTGAGAACCTCTGTTTGAACACCTGAATACTCTTTCGATAAAAAGAGTGAAAATGAGCATTAATAATGAGTTTGTCTGTCTGCATTCAATCTACATTTTTCCGATGACAAATAAGTCCCTCCCTAGTCGAAGAAGACGCCTCGTTGAGGGAGCACATGCTCGGGCGACGAGTGCCTGTTGCTCACATGTTTTATAATTTCGCGTTGCTGAGTTTCATCGATAACTCATCCACTCTTAAGTGATACACGCATCGCCTTCTGTTTTTTTCCTTTTTATTGCCTCGAAGAATGGCATGTAACTCGGAAGAGCAGCACAAGAATTTTTCGGAGCAAAGTTGAGGTAATCCGTTGCAATAAATGTTTCTGCAAATTTTCCAGTATTCCGTCTTTTCAAGCTAATCCCATTACATTGTACGATAAAAAAACTTGGAAAAATCAATTATTTATCGTGAGTACGTCACAAATATCAGTGACATATGGTATGGGGTTATAAGGTTTGAGCGTTAATTTTGAGTATTCAGTTTCGAATTGGATTAGTTAATGCCATGCCGATTGGAAATGATCGCACAACTAGATTGCAATCGTATACTAAACTAAAGAAATTCCTTTGAATGCAGAGAAACAATGAAAGTAACGAAGAACGCTATCGCCAATCGCCAGTTATATTGGATCTAGACGTGAACTTAAAACAGCAACAGCAACAAAGAATTCATGACTCGGAATATAATTCAGCAAACGCAGGTGAGTGAAGTGCAGGAATGAGCGAAATAAATGTAACTGTAAGCCAGCTTTGCATTTTGAATATCGAATATGAGTTCCAGTGAAAATTGATACGGTTACAACCAAACGATACGGTTCATAGAATGTCAAGCAACGTTACGACACGTCAAATCGCTGTTGTATAACTGCGACGAACGAGCGAAATGGGGAGCACGATCGAGGAAAAATGTCGAATACGTATTAGATTTCCAATTAGCGCTAGGTGGGCGAATCCGTGGCGCGGCTGGGGCTCGAAAGTTCGATCTCGGGCAGCTACTAAAATGCAGGCGAAATATTTCAGAGTTGAGCGAGGAAGAGCTTGCAATTCGCCGGCAGAACTTGAGAAAGCGATGGCAGAACGCCGCGGCATGCGATCAGCGCTCGCATCAGACTACCCCAGCCGGCGGCGGCCAGGATGGCTTCGTGGTGATTCGAGTGCCAGAGTCAGAAATTGTTGGATCCCAATCGCATTTGGCGCCGCCACCGCCGCCCACTCCTTCGTCTCAGCCTCAAAACCTGCAGCTACAGCAGCAGCAGCAGCAGCAGCAACGCGAGATCAATATAAAGACCACGGCAGCGCATCGCGAGCACTCACAGACGGAGAAGGGTTCGTATACATATATATATATATATATATATATATATATACTTTGAAAGGACTCTTTTATTGGCTCGCGAGCTGCTTTCAAAGAGGAGCAGACGACGACGACAACGACAACGACGAGGCGAGGAGGACGACGATATTCCTTCGCAGCTTCTTTCAGCTTGTTGAAATGCCAGTTAATCGGTTTCGCTGCGCGATAGATGCAGGATAGCGTATTGAAAAGAAAAAAATACCGGATAAACTGGTATTTACTGGAGCCCGCAACGTCTTCGCGTGCTTTCGGCGCGCGCTCTTCAAACGAAAGATGCACAAATCGAACTTGCTTTTTATCGCGCCGTCGAGAGAATAAGAGAAGCCGCGGGAAGCTGACTTTGGCTTGCAAACGACAACGCGCGCGCGATTCGCATACAGGTCACAGTGGGGCTGCTCGTCTGCCTAGCACGTGCGCCAATCTGCGTGGTCGGCGCGGCCTGCCAGCTCGCCCCACTCAGCACTTTACCGCTTGCAGCCGCGAGCCCTTGCGCTCCGCGCCCCTCGCGGGTGCCAGCCTCACGCTCTGCTCGCGTCGAGCGTGGCATCGCGCGTGATGCCGTTGTCGCGGCTTGTTTCGCCTACCCACGGTGAAATCCTCGCTGTCCCCGTCATCCACCTCGTGTCTGCCGAACAGATGCGCGAGAAGCTCCGCGAAAATCCGGCGCCACCAGGGCAGCTTTCTCTCGCCGTGGTCGCAGCTCGCGCTCGGCTAGCCGACCGAATCCCACGCTCTTTTTGTTCGCTTGATCGAGCGGCCCCGTTGGCCCACTCCCGTTCGTTTCAGTGCATTCCTCTCGTTGCCGCTTGTCCGCTGGATGCTCGACTTGGGTCTGGCAATTTGGTTGATTTGCTGACTCGAAGCCTGCATGCAGCGTTGCTCGACGACTCGGCGAACCCGTACGAGATTATTGCCAACTCGACCGACGACTGATTCGCGTCCAGTTTTACGGCTGCCTCCCTGTTGCTGCCGCGCTTCGATTTACGGGCCGTAGCTGCAGCATTCTCTTGCGGCAAGATCCGCAGGCAAGTCATCTTCTTGCGGGCGCGCGGACTCGGTTGTCGGAAGTATTGGAAAATCGTTTAGGTCTTGTGCCTTCGCCAGGGCACAGTGGCAGCTTTTGGGCGTTAACGTGTTTTCCATTAGCGGTCTTATCTTATTGCGATTTCGCGATAGCGTTCAGTCCTTTTTTCGCCATTTTCCAACGGCTATCGTGTTTGTTTCACCGAGATCGCTTTTCAACGCTGAGCTTTCGACGCTCTGCGTACGAGCGCGGCATACCAACCTTTTCGACTTCTTTTCATATTTACGCTTCGCCAATTGCAGCACGAGTAAACGTTGTTTTCGGTACGTTACATACTTGCATAATTTTACCAGCCAATTCTTTTCACGCTCGAAATACCTTGTGCTTCAGATTTGGAGTTACGTTTGTTATTCCGAAACAAATCTCGCGATACGCAACGCGTCGATCAGTTTTTCTTTATTCGCTTGAGACAACAATTTAAGCGGATTATAAGCTGTTTCTCAGAACTATTGAATATAAACATGCATGCATGATGCACAAACCTGCTTTTAATGCGCGATGCATATTCAGCGAGCGTTCGGTAGTTAAAGTCGAGTTTGGCGAGACTTACATCGATCGCGCGCACTCAAAACTGCTTTGTATAAAAAATTGTATATGAACGATGGCATAAAATAAGTTTCACGATTCGACGCCATTTCATCAACAAAATATTCCCATAGCGGTATAATCAAAAGTTCACTGTTAGTTCCTTTACCCAGTAATCCATGGTTTTTCGTGGGTTGGGTGTCAGTAAAGCTTGGAAAATGTATCAGCTCTGAATCTCCGAGCGTTAGATTTACGGTATTCAAAACACTGTAAGGCTCAAAATTTCGAATAACCGACCAATTTGAATTTCAGCTTAGATCAGTGCCGTCTCCTTTTTGTTTAACATTGAATTCCAAAAGAACGTGAAAAATTAGCTGCTTTCATGCGAACGCAAAGAAAAAGGGTGTCATAAGCATGCCCGGATATTGGCGCATTTGATTGCGGTTACTGAAGTCACGCGCAACGATGAAGAAAAAAAGAATTAGGAACGTAGAGCCCCAATTCGATGATGTGCGGGAACGGCATCGATTCGTGCAAGTCCCTTTTGTGCTATCGCCACATAATCGATTTGTGATTTTTCAGATTATAAAAAGTCAGCGTGCGATCGTGAGCGCACCCGCATGCGTGACATGAATCGAGCGTTCGAGCTGTTGCGCTCAAAGTTACCGATCTGCAAGCCGCCAGGTAAGAAGCTCTCGAAGATCGAGTCGCTTCGCCACGCAATCACCTACATTCGGCACCTGCAAAGTCTACTGGAACCGCAATACTCGTATCCCAGCAGCGCGTCGACATCCGCGGAGAGGCCGACCATCACTGCAGCGGCGGCGGCGGCTGCGGCGGCAGCAGCGGCGGCGGCGGCAGCGTCTGCGACGCCAACGGCAGCGACCTACTTCGCCGGTCCTTACACAGCAGAACAATTGCAAAGGCCCGGGCATAGGTGGGATGCCTACGCGTATTATCGCTACGACTATCACTCGGCTTTCGCGTCGCTGCCGCCGATGCAGCCTCAGCAGCAAGCGGCAGCAGCCGAGCAACCGTACGCGTACGAGGTGATGAGACCCTAGGCCTTTATTGCACATTCCTCTCTGCCCCGGGTGCCAGCCTGCAGGCAAATTGAGCCGTGTCGCAATTGGAAATTGCGTGCGCACTGCTTAAAGCCTTTGGCTTTGACGCCTCGGCGAGCTTTAATGCGCGCCGTTCTGCTCTGCGGACACGTGGCAATATTGTATTTGCATTATAGCAAAGCCTGTCTGCGGCTAATCTTGCCTGTTGCCGCTGTGATGCCTCAATCCAAAACTTTACTCCGAAAGTGTTCCTCGTTACCATTAATACTATTCTACTCTCGTATGCGTATTCTTGTGCGAGTCATGTACATGGGTATTATGTTGTTCAATAAAATTTATCTCACATTTTTCGTAATTGATTCTGCTTAGTTTTTCATTACTTGTCCACAGTAAACGAATTCTTCAAATAATAAAACTTTTTCTTGAAATGTCCTGCAACACAGATAAGAATTGTGACTTACCTGAAATTAACTCTGTATGTTTTGAACGATCAAAAATGCAAACACGAAATTGTTATCGTAGTGTCATATTTATGTTTGTCAGATAACTTCACAGTTCAATTTGTTTTTTAAATACATTGTCAAAATAGTACAATAAAGTGTAGGAAAATGAATTAACTTTGTAATATCGTATACCATGTGTAAAAACGTTATTGATTTATTAAAATTGCAATTGTATACTCGTGTAAATTTCGATTTTGCATGTCAAATCGAAATATATTTTGATTAAATTTCAATGGCGATTATTCCTTGACGATATCCTTAAATTTAACACATTACAAAATATATAAAATAATAAACGATGTCTTGTTTAGTGGTAAAAAAATACATGCGAGTTGATCCAAAGATTTTTCAATTATCGTCTTGCTTTTCAAGCATCACAATCATTTATCAAAGTTGTCAATAATCTACAATTTTCTCTTTCTTGCTTCAACTATTATATATACACACATGAGTTAGGCTTTTTCTTTTACTGTAATTAACAAGATTTTAAAGGAGCTTGCAAGGCTCTTTTATATAATATGATATTTTAACAGCTCTTTTTATAAAAATATAATTAATATTGCTATTAGATCTCTTTTCAAATCGATAAATTATTATAAACGTATATACAAAAAATAGCAAAATATAACAATGTTATATTATATAACTATACTATTTTGCACTACTGGAGTAATATTTGGAGGGACTGTGGTGGGATAAATATGTACAGGTAGGTCCCAAACCATTGTCTCAATATCTACAGTTGAGGGAGCTTGCCAATTCATAGTATTCTCATCTGGAAATTCAATAGGTTTCACTGCAGTGACAAATTCAAAATGCAATCTCCACTTCAAATTAACCAAGTCAGTGCTAAAATCTGGAGTAATGTGAAAAGGAATTGGCAACATGAGGTGAGTGTACAAGTAACCTATAACAACTTCATGATGTTTGTTGTAACTACTTAAAGATACTGCAGTCTTTCCTTTCTTAAATTCTTCTGCAATGTATTCTTCGGATTGGAGGGTAACAGATACTTGAGTACATGATACAGTTGCATTTGAAAAGTCAAAAGTTCCTATAATATCCTCACCAAGCTTGTAAGAATTTTTAAAAAGGCAAAACCTTACGACTCTTCCTCGTTGATTTGTTATATTATAATAGTTTGGGCTACGCCTTGCAGTTATGTTCTAAAATGCATTTAAAAGTTATATAAGTTAGTTGATAACAACTCAAGCTTTCAATTTTTATCTGACTTGATAGCTTACCTGCAAAGTTTGTAAGGCAATTTCCAAGTCAGTTTCTTTTGGTTGGCTTTCAATTTTCAGTTTTTCCAAGTCTAAATCTGGAATGTTAAGGCAAGCTAGCTCATGATTTTCATTACAGGCAGTAGCTTCAGGTACTTCCCTGATAATATATTCCTCTAGAATAACAAAAAATTATAATAATTGTTAACTCTAATAATTAGATATTTTATTTGAATTTGGATAAAGTAAATTACCTCTTAAAGGTAAAACTCGAAAAGGAATTTTTAACAATTTAATTGGAGAATTGACGCGCTGAGTACCTATAGTAATTTTGTATGAATATCTAACAGCTTGTCCAAGATATGAAGGAGGAGAATGGATTGGAATATTTTCTTTGTATACAACTGCAATAAAAATTAATTAATCGATCAAATAAAAGATGTCTTGATGACTTATAATTAAAATAAAAATATAGTTGACTTACAAGATTTACTTTCTCCAGGTGATAATTTCATATCACAAAATAAAATCTTGGGTTTTGTAATTAATACTGCATGCCCGTTATCACTTGAAGATGGATCAAAGGTTGTAACTATTTAAAAATAGAAAAAACTGAATTTGGATAAATTAAAAATAATTCTTATTCTATTATAGACAAATACACATACCACTATTAATAATAGTAGGTTTGGCATCTTTTTTTATTTTATCAACTAGAATTAGTTTCTCATTTATCGAACATTGACAATGTATTTGAGCACTAGCCCATGCAAGATTTTCAGATACATCACTGAGTCAGAAAATTGTTAAAACTTTAATAAAATAATTTTTGTCTATTATAATAATAAAATAATGTCAATGACGTAAACCTGTTATCTTGAGCCTCTTCAGATGATGCATTTTCAGAGTTTTCAGTGAATTCAGGACAACTGAATGTAATTTCACACTCTATATCTTCACTGGCAAAAAATGTAGATCCATTCAATAATTTTGCAGTGATATCAATCATTTCGGCTTAAAATATACTAAATAAAAACTACTTAAATAATTAAGGTTCTTCATTAAGTTATTGAAAACGTGTCATTACTTTAAAGGTAACATCACGTTCCACATAACCTCATCGGCAAAAAAGATATTCCAGCAGCTAAAAATAAAAAATTTAACGAAATGACATTTTTAAAAAAAGATTGGAGAATAATTGAGGATTTTCAATAACTTACTTCTCAACATTGATACAACTACGTATAATATGTATAGTATTATAAAAAACTCATTTACTCTTTTTTTTCTCTCATTTACTCTGCCACCTTGCCGAGATATGGCGTCCGCTAAATCATGCGTATATAGTTGCATGAATGTTGCTTTCTCATCGATAAATTGTTGGTACCAAGAATATAATTTGTATGAATAACTGCAATTCTGTAAAGTCAACACGTATTTATAGTATTGATAAAATATTATAAAATAATACGAAGTTGTTCATCCATAATCAAGTATAAGCTGACAATAAGCACCAGATTTAATAATTTTAGCAAGAGAAATTTAAGCGAAGTATTCAGATTTCATGTCGTTTCAGGTAATGTTTATCAACATTATTTCGATTGAATAATTATATGTATTTATCGATTTTCGATTTTCTATTACGTTTTCTATTAATAAATATTTAAACAAAAATTCTAATTGTTAATCTTGGTTAAGTTGAAATTTATTAATTATTATAAAACTTTTATAAAACAATAACTTCGTAAATTTCGATTTATAAATAAGTAATCAACTTTATATGCACTATAGGCTGCTAGCAAACGTGACAAAGAAATTAGTAAAAAGCTGTGTTTCTTATTACGGCATGGAGCTGTGAAGAAAGGTTTAGCTATTCGTCCAGATGGTTTTGTTGAAGTTAGTAAGGTGTTAAAAGCAATTGCTGATTGTAGTCTAATTGACCTTCAGAGAATTGTTGCAACTGATGATAAACAACGCTTTACATTACATGTGGGAAAAGAATTATGGATCAAAGCTAATCAGGGGCACTCAATTGCTCAAGTAAATTCTTTGAGCATTAGGTATTTGATTAATGTATCATTTGATATAATCCATGGCACTTATTTCTCACAGTGGGAAAAAATAAGATCTGAAGGGATTTCTCGTATGACAAGGAATCATATACACTTTGCTAAAGGCTTGAATTTTATTTGTGGATTAAGACAAGACTGTGAAGTTTTCATTTACATTGATTTTCCCAAAGCAAGTAGAGATGGAATAAAGTTTTATGAATCAGAAAATAATGTTATTTTGTCACCTGGAGATTTTGATGGTTATATTAAGCCACAATATTTTTTAAAAGTGATAACACAAAGTGGATAAACAGTATTATAAAAGGTAGAAATGTACATATTGGTTGTCAGTTTATTCAAGTATCTATTTTCAATTTAATTTGAATTAATATAATTTCAGATATTATTTTTTCAGTCAAATATGTCTAAAGAGTGTAAAATTTGTAAAATAGAAGTTCAAGATCAGAATCAATTTGAAGAACATTTACAAGGAAAAAAACATCTGAATAATGTTCAACATTTAGAACAACTTCAATCTCTTGCTCAGAGGTCCATTTTTATTTCTCGTTTTCCACATTATATATCTTTACAGAATCTTTTGCACTTCTTTTCTCAATTTGGTAAAATAGTATATCATCGTTTTGGTTCTAGTCATGTTATAATTGAATATCAAACAAAGTACGATTTATTGAATCTCTCTATAATAAACTCTTTTCTCAAAAGGTATTATATTTAATTATGTTTTTAGAGATCCTGTTGAATACTTATTAAAATATCCGATATATTTTGGTGGTGTAAGATTAAATATTCAACCTAGAATAGTGTATGATAATAAAGGTAAGCCATACCATTAATAATAGAAATTGACTGTTTCAAATTGGTGACATTCTACTTTTGTGTCATCCAAAGAAGAAATAGTAAATACATTCACGGTCATGTTACTAATTACCTCGTATTGTTTTTAGTTTTTTAAATATTTTGATGATATAATATTCCATTATGTGAAGCACTTTATTTTAATGATTTAGAAGTTTTCTTTAATTGTTTTAATATTAATACAAATTTAATAATTGATATGGTATCAAATACACGTGTAACAATATATATTATAGTTTCTTTTAATTAAAACTCAACAGACATTACATTTAAGAAATAAATAAATATAATAAGTTCTAAATTATTAGTAAAATATTTTCTTTAAATAGCTGTTAACAGAAAAGACAATAAAACTGCAATACCAGAAGCTATAAATGACACAGAAGATTTGATGTATGACAATATTAAATCAATTTTTGAAGTGGAATCTACATTCAATCATCAAGTGGATGCTTTTATCAAGAGAGTTGCAGTTAGTAAAACTGAAATAGAAGCTTATTATGACTACACTTGTCGTAAATTGAATGAAATATTAAAAACTATTTTCAAAGATTGTAAAACATACAGGTTTGGTTCTACAGTGTCTGGCTTAGGATTCAAAAATTGTGATTTGGATATTTACGTTGATATTGGTAAAATTTTTGTTCTGTTTTTATTAAAAGAATATATTAACATTCTGTTACAATAAATATAAAATAATGGTATATTTGTGTAGGAATACCAATAAGTCCAGAAAATAGTGATACTTTAGCACCTCATGCCGTGTCGACAGCTACTATATTTTCAGAAGTAAAACGAATGTTATATGCCAGATCATCATTATTCACAAAAATTGTTCCAATACCTAAAGCAAAAACCCCTATAATCAAATTTACATATATACCAACAAAAATTTCCTGTGACATTTCTTTCAAGAACAGTTTAGCTGTGCATAATAGTCAGTTGGTGAAATTTTATTTGTCACTTGATGAGCGTTTGAAACCCACAATGATGATTCTCAAGTATTGGGTTAGTAACTTCGAGCTGAGAGGTGGTGATAAAATGTCTAAATATGCATTAACAATGCTGTTTATATTTTACCTACAACAACCAGCTGTTAAGCTTGTGCCTCCTATTATAGCATTGAAAAGACAATGTGTACCTGAATTTGTCGAGGGCTGGCAAATCAATTACAACAGAAATGCTATTGGTTATTGTGCAAATGAAGTAGATGCTAAACCTAAAAGCATTCCAGAATTACTACATGGATTTTTTGACTTTTATGCAAATTATAAATTCAAAACAAACGTTATCTGTCCCATTGATGGTGTGTCTCATCATAGAACTGTATTTGAACGTCCAGAAACTTTTCCAGAGAGTATGGATAGATATCAAGTATATCTAAACTCCAAAGAAAATCCAACATTATTATCAACAAACAAGCCAATGTGTTTACAAGATCCAAATGAATTAAACCATAATATTACAGGAAACCTTTCACTGAGATATGTAGAAAATTTTCAAAATTATTGTGCAGCAGCTTCTAATATTTGTCTTAATGCAGCAGAAAACAATTACAAGGATTTACTCCCATCAATATTCTCACTTATTGTTAAAACAAAAAAATGTAAGCACAATGTTGATATTTTCATTTATGCTGATAATTTATTAAAAGTTGGACTTCCTGAAGATTTTGAAACAAGAACAGATATTGCAGATAAAAAACAATTCATGAAGAACAATTGGTTAGAGTTAGTTTTGAGCATGGTGAAAAAATACTTTGAAGATATACTTAAATTCAAAATACAGCTTGTCAAGAATGAACCAGATTCTAAACAACAAAAGATCGAAGACAATTCTGATGTTCATTCTAAAGATCAGAATAAAATCATTTGGCATTGCACAGGAGATGGCTGTTTGTGGATAGATCGTAAAAAATCTAGTAATCTTGATCCCAGTTTATCTTTACTTGAGAAAGAAGTACAAATCTCAAATCATCTATATGATTACTTGAACTCTAAAAATAGATTAGTAAAATCAAAAATTGATTTTACATGTAACATATTAAAAAAAGAGAATACACCACATATTCTTATAACTTTAATTAATGATAATACTTCTAGTAGTTTATTTGCAGAATTTGCTAACTATACTAAAAGTAAAATGCCACACGTCATAAAGAAAACATTAATGCACATGCAACAATTTAAAAATGCAAATTAAATTAATCTAAAATCAGTGATTCCATGTGTTGAAACATATCAAACAAATGATCTTTGTAGAAGATAAAATCAAAATTTCTTATTTATATGAAATGACTCAATGTAAGATGTTTTTTAATTCTTTAAAATAGCACTGCAACTATTTTAATCATGCAATGGAAAGTTGATAGACCATTTTTTTGTCAAAGTAAGCATAATTAAATGTACAGGATAGTGAAATATGTATACAGTTTATCAAAATGTAAATATTGAAATGCCATATTTATTTTTATAGTATATTTATTTTGATCAAATGCGTGATACTTTATTTAAATGTAGAATTTTTTTGCTAATCAGTGATTCTTTATTTAATGATCATTATTAATGTTAAATGATATAAGTACATATAAAATTTCAGTAAATATGATAATCTAATTAATCTAATTAATAGTGATTGATTATTAATCCTAATTAATATTCAGTGAATAAAATATTCTTGAAACTGTTAGTGATTTGGTATACTTTTTTCAAAACTTGCCTATTTATTAATTCATTGTAATGCATTAAGATTTAATACACTGTATTGAATAACCTAATTAATATTATATTGTTTGTAAAGTCATTAAATTGATATTTACATAGATTATTTTTTAAATTTATTTTTCAAAGTGCAAATTTTACGAGCAAACATATTAAATAAACTTATTGATAAAATAAGATTATGGTTGGTTTTGCGCTAGTATATAATTTTAATTGGCCTTTGGCAAGGAAGTGAGATACACCGGAGAACGGTGGAACCAGAGGAAGAATGAAGCTGAGAGCCACTGAAAGCGTATAGAATAAATATGGCGGAACAACGATGCATAGAAGAGCACATTTTCTTGTAATTTGTGAAAAGTTATAAGTGTTTAATAAAAGACGAAAGCAGTCATTATCATTACTGTTTTTATATTTTTACATACGTACAACAAATTATTTTAATATCAAAGACGTAAGTTAGATAACCCAAGTTTTCCGATTCAAAATATTTTTTTAATCAAGCATGGAGCATCTTTAGTCGTAGCGTTATTATATTATTAAAAACTTCCTATTATACTTAAAATATGCTACTGGTTTGATTGCAAAACACAAGCTCTAATTTCAAACAGCATGACTACTGAAGAGAAGAATGGCACTCAGGAAGCATCTGAAGCCAATGGATTCAATTTAAATGCAAATGATGCAAATAACGATGACAGAGGAGCTCAAGATTTAGAAAATCAAGATAATGCAATTGAAGATGACTGTATCATTGGTTTAGATGCAACGGATGTTTGGGAGGATGATGAAAAAGACAAACCTCGTCGCAGAAGCTGGGATCGTGCTCGAGGGGAAAAGAAACGTCTTTCAAGGTAGGGAAAGTTGATTGAGATGGACATTCCTATGCATATGAATATTTTTATGGAATACAAAAGTAATTATTATTAAATTAAGCTTAATTGTTCAATTATTTTCATAGGGCAAATGTAATTTGAACTGTGATGTCGGATATGATAAAATTATGTAATTCAATAATCTATTTTATAGTATAGGTGATAATTCATAAGACTTATGTGTCTTCTATCATATCATTATTGAAATTACTGTATATTTGCTAAGCCACTCCACAATAACATTGACTTGGCTAAAATTAAATAATGATTAATATTGTACAATAAATTCAATAATTGTGACAAAGAAAGCTGCATGTTTTGATTCTCTTTAAATAAAAAATGTGATAAGTCAGTGAATATATTTTAATGTGTTATTTCACTGCACTGTATTGTTATATAATGTAGTATGAATAAAGCCATTGTTACTTTTCGACAGTAGACTAATTAGCAATTTTTATAAGAAATATTGATAGTGTAATTATGAGGAAGTTGGCGTGAAAATAAAAAAAAGTGTTAAGAAAAAAGAGAATCGATGGTAGTTTGAAATGTGTATGTCTGAATAGTGAGTAAAAGTGTACAATGCAGTTTGTAAGAACAAAGTTGAGCTTAATTATAGGGAACGAGAAAAAGAGCGAGATCGAGACAACTACCGTAACCGTCGACGATCCCGCAGTCGTGGACGAAGATCCCGAAGCCGCGGGCGGAGGTCACGCAGCAATGACAGAAGGCGCGAGCCATCTCGTCGGGATCCTAGCAAGAGTAACAAAGACATCGAGCAAGATAAGTTGCGCGCGAAAAAAGATAGCGATAGTAAAATTCTCGCCGAGAAAGAGAAGGCAATCAAGACATTACTCGACTCGGATAACGTCATGCCTCCGGGCACCGAGACCGAAGCTATTCAAAATATTGTCGAGAAAAACCAGCAGGAGCAAGAGATTCGTAATCAAGAGGACAGGAGTCGCGTGAGCCGAGACAACAAGAAGCGCAGTCCAGTTCACAGCAGACTCGGGCCCAAGAAGCTCAGCAAGAGTCCCATAAGATTGTCTCCTCTGCGGCGAGAGCGTCGAAGCCCTTTCAGTCCTGGCCGAAGAAGGAGAAGCATCGATCGCGATAACAGCGTTGAGAGGAGGATCGCTTCTAGACGCCGCCTACGGGAACGGTAACGCTCTTTCCGATCGACAATTCTGTTCAAAAATCCGAGCCTCCACGGTTTTGCATCACGATCGCTTTTAATTCCGCGTAAAGTCCTAGTCGGCGACGCTTATCACTTGCCGAGTTACAATGTCGAGCGAGACTTTTGAGCAGGATTGAATTTCGGCTTAATTCATAAGTAGACAAATAAGTTGCTAGAGTGTGTTCGTTTCGTCTAACTCGAAAGTGTGATTAGCGCGGCGAGAAGAAGCCGCTCCAGGAGCCGGGATCGTCGGAGGAGCCGCAGCCGCAGCTACGAGCGTCGCAGGAGCCGCAGTGGTGGTCGCCGCAGCAGGTCGCCGTTCGAGAGGAGGCTACGTCGCCGTACTCTGTCGCGCAGCCGCTCGCCGGATCGCGCGAGACGCCGGTCGCCCTTCATCAACGAGCTTGCTCGCCAATTCAGTCACGACGGCATGATGCCCGACAAGCCGATGGGACCTGGTACCATGCCCGGCTACGGAGCTGGACCGCCGATGGATCCGCGAATGGGGCCAGGTATACTCCCGACGCCCGGCATGCCGGGACCGTCAATGATGAACCCCATGCATCCCGGTGTGGTTCATCCAGCCGCTCCGGTTATGCATCCGGGTCCCAGAGGACCGCCGTTCTTAGGATACGATGGCACTTCGATGCCCTTCGAGTCGCCGATGAACATGGGTCCGACATCGGTCGACTTTCCTGGCCCAGGGCCAGTCGATTTTCCGGGCCCAGCGATGTTCAGTCAAGGTCTTATCAATCCAGTCGCTCCACACCCTTTGCGTCCTGTATCTCCCGTACCTCAACCCGTGCCTGCACCGGTGATTGGGCAAGGATACACAGCGGGATTGGGAGCATCTCTGCAGCATCAGCTGGCAAACTCAGGTCCGGGATCCCGGGACAGGTACTCACCGAATGCGTCCTACAGTAGTCGTCACTCTGGCTCGCCCAGCGACAAGATGTTTAGAAACAAAAATAAGCGTGAAGAACGCATGAAGACACCAGAGCCACCGATCATATCGGACGTCAAAGTAATTGTCTTTTTTACTTCAACATTCCTCATCGGTTTCATTTAAAACTTTAACACTTAGTTGGCTATACTCTTGTTAGGAGAATAGCAGTGTTTTTATGCTTTATAAGTGTTGACAAATGAAAGTGTTATTTCTTTTGTTAGTTGTAAGCATAAATTTCTTCGCATTTACAGCCGAATGAAAAGACCAGTTTATCCAGCCTCCTAGAAGCGTCAGTTTCAAACAAAGGTGCGAATTTTTATTTATCAACAACTCTGTGCAAAGTTTCAGAATTTCATCCTGAAAAACAAAATCGAAGCGTATTGCTTTATCTTCTATAGAAGAAAGGTTGTTGCACGAAAGCTAGTCATTCGAGTAGTCGATGGCTTGTTCATATTGGTGCAAAACTTTTAGTTGCATGTGATTCCCTCATAGCCTCGCCAAAGTAAACGTAAAAAGTTTCTGTACTCAGGATTCATATAATAAAACTAATTTTTCTCTCCCACTCTAGATGTATCCAGTGCGACAGCTTCGTTCAAAGGTGAGTAGTTCCGCTGCGAAATTTCCTTATTTACATCGTCATTCGTAGTTCTAGTTTATTTTCGGAAAGAGAAATTTCTTGTAAAATACAAACAACACACGTGTAACACATTTGACGTGTGTGTTGGCGATGTAGGATTCCGTCCGGAGATATTGCGGCACTGCGAACGAGCGCTGCGCAGTCTGCCGACGGAGGATCCTCGATTGAAGATGAAAGGTCGCTTCTTCTTCGAGCCGTTGAAGAAGGACGACAAGAAGGATAAGGCACCACCAGGTTCCAACTCAATACTTTTGCGCAAAGGCCGTACAGAGATCTACTGGGACGACGAGGAAGAGCAAACATCGAGCACCGGTCAACCATCGTCAGTGCATCACATAATGCGACGAATTACAACCCATCAAAAATATTGTCAAACGGAGGAGACAGTGCGGGAGTCAGTTGCTGTGCAAGCCGAGGAAACACCAAAGCAAACATCAGACTTCAGTCAGCAAGTGGTACCGCACGATCTGATGCCATCGCAGGAAGAAACGAGGCGCGTGGCACCGGCTATGATCATGGAGGACAATCGACGAATGCCGTCGCTCGAGGATATTCGTCGACCTATCGACGACAGCCGACGAGTGGTCTTGGAGGATTCGCGGCGAACAATCGTAGAGGAATCTCGTCGACCCATCGACAGACTGGACTGGAGCATGCGGGAGACCTACGATCACGGAGCGGATAGGATCCGCGATAAAGATGATCTACGTTGGAATCTGAACAACAGTGGTGGGGGTGGTGTAGGTGCCACTGGTGGTAATGCCACGAGACCAGGCGACAGACTGCCATGGTCGCAAGGCTTCTCACCGAAGCCTATTGATCATATGCACGGCAATGCACCTATCAATACTTCTATGAATGATTTTACGCGGAAAGACAACCGGGACATGGACATGCGCGATCGTGACATGGACATCCGCATGGATATGCGCGTCTTGAAAATGCTGCGAGAGCGCGAGCGTTTGATGGGTGACGCGAGGGGGACCGCAGGCCTAACTAATAGGTCTGGTGGGCTCGATGAATTTTCGACGCGTAGGCAGCCACCGGTCAACGATGAGTTTAATATGCGCAAAAACTATGGCGGTGGTAGTAGTAGCGGCAGCGGCGGTGGTGGTGGTGGTGGTGGTCCAGGCAGCATTGGCAGCTTTAACAGGGCCATGGAGATGATGGAGAAGGAGAGGAACGAGCCACAGTTCGGCGACAGTCCAATTCCGGATGATCCCGATGACGACTTGGAGATCATCGAGGAAAGGGGAACCTGGCCGACAAGGACCATCGCACCTACTACTAATCATCTTGGTAATGCCCGTGGTGGCGGCGGTGGTAGCAATATTAGTAGACCTTTTCGAGGTAGACTCGGCGGTTATCGCAACTACTAAATGGTTGTTGTTTGATTTTTCATTTCTATTTCAATTTGGGTGTGTCAATATCAATTTGTATTTAAAAATACGAGCGCTTGATCAATTTTGTGTCGGTACCCATCGGAGTCGTATATCTAACACGTGCATATGAAACAACCTAAAGGAACTTTGTTGTATATAGCTACTCGCTTGCTCACTGTTCTTTGAAACAGAGATGCTTACTTCACGCAACTACAATAATATACAACTGAATGTATAATCTATTCAGATTCGTTGAAAACGATAACAGCCAAAGTTGACCGTTACGTGGGGATTATCTACGTTTTATTTTTGTGGCCATTGCTACATTTTTCTATGTAGAAATGCGTGAAAACCAACACGCAGTCATTAATTTTAAGAAAATTAAGTTTTTTTTTACATTCGGCAATGAGGATTTTATTCTCTTCATAAGATTTTAGGAGTGTTCCAGTGAATATTCTATTAAACTTTTACTTATTTTTCATTATAAGATATGTGAAACTTATTCCACTACTATTCCATTAGTGCTTTACTTCGTAAAGAGTTGTAGAAATCATTCATTAATTGAAAATAAATTGACTGTAAAAGCATTATTATTAACCTCTTTTTTTGAGAACATATGATTCATTTGACGCTTATATGATAAACATTAAAAGGATTAGAATCTAATAACATTCATTATTCACTGTTTGACATCTTTGTGCACAGAAGTCAAATAGATATTGTTAACAACTTCTTTTATACGTTGATTATGTGAAACATTACATTTATAGAATTTGGATACATAAAACCACATCATTCACGGCCGTCGGAATCAACATTGTATTCAACATCGGATCTAGTTCGTATCATTTGCTCTAATACTTTTAGTGTAATTCAATTTATTTTGAGTAAAATATCATTTCCGTAAATGTATTTGTTAAATTACTTTTTCCATGTTACGTTAATTTACTTATTTTATGCAGTATCTATCAAAGACATGTATTTACGGCATCGTCCACTAACAAAACATTTTTAATGTTTTTTATCGGAATGATTTATACAAAATAGTTACAAGTTTCTTGCGTTTAATAGTGAAAACTACATTTTGTTAAATATTAAAGTGACTAGTGTCTGCAGCGTTTACATTAGATGTGGTGTTTTTAAAAATTAGTTAGAGTTCAAGAATGTCTTATAAGTGTGTTTGGTTACCTGCTTTTTAAAATATTATTATTTGACGATTCTACAGTTTACAAAACAATCAAATACTTTTTTTATTGCATAAAAAAAAGTTTTTTTAATGTCTTACAAAAAATCAAGTATAATCGAAAAAAAAACTAGTAACGGCAAAGCTACCAGTAACAAAGCGATCAAATATACCGATTCAACACTGTCATCTTACACGTGGAGAGCATCCAGGAGAAGATCGTAACCGTGGTTAAAATCGTTATCAAGATAGCAGCTTCTAATCTCGAATATCTTTTATGGATTTGATTTATGTATGTTCAATATGTAATTTGTTAATTTAAAAATATCAAGAATATCATATGAATAAAATATTCTTAAAATTTCAATTAGAACTGTTCGATTTTTAATTGGTAAAAGATGCTGGCCAACGCTTGAGAACCGAAGTATATAAAGTATACTAATAGTTGTCTAAAATTATTTTTATTTTTTATTTTCATGCAAATTATTTTAGGAATTACTTGCAATAGTTAATTTTATAACATTACGAATATTATTAAATTAATTATTATATTACATATCAAGAGTAAGTCACAGTTTTAAAAACTGTAAAACCAGATACTATTATAACTAAATTAAATTTCAAGCAACCTTCGATCATGTATTAAATAAATCTAAACAGTTTTCTTTTAAAAGTGTCTAATGCTAAATATTTGATTTAACAGTGTTTACAACAAAGTGAGTGATTCTAAATAAATTACATAGTTTGTTACGAGTTTTTCATTATCCTAATAATATTTAAACTTGATATAGAAATAAATATTGTATGAGTTATATGTCCCATAATAAATTTCTTACAAAAAACTGGTACATTGGATTATCTTGTTTTGTTAGCCAAACGAAAATAATTGAATATTATCGAATGTGTGAGATCGTCATAACAATGGAGTAAGTTTATTTATGCAGTAAATATGATGAAATGAAAAAATCAACTCTATACTTACAACTATTACTGATTTTTTTATAAAAGAATAAACAGCAATATTATTATACAATTAAATTAGAATATCTAATCCTGTTATGTACGAAGGTGCAAGTTTTAATGATAAATTATTTTATTCTTAAAGATAATATCAATGTATGATAAAATATGTGGTGAAGAATCTATTAAATCTAAATGTAAATAGCATAAATTGCAAATTACAATATTCATTTCAAATTTGAAATTGTTTGAGCTTTAGCGTTAATAAATCGTTAATGATTTTTTAAAAGCTATCTTATAGTTTTTTATTTTAAATCTTTTATGCGTAAACGGCATTTGAAAAAATAAAAACAGTTCATATTAGTTAAATCTTGCACATAATCTTTTGTGTATGTTTAAATTTATGGTTGTCGATGCCTTCGACTGCATGTTATTACTACTTTAAATTTAACATCTCAAGTACTGTTCTATAGATTTTTTTATTCTAATATTATACAAATTTTATTGTTGCTAATATATTATTAATTGTTACATTTTTTACTAACTAACATCTACTTCTAATAGAATGACTTTATAAAACTAAAATAAAAATAGCAATGAATGTTTGTAATCACGAATGGTTAATAAAAAATAAAATTGTTAGTTTTGTACTTTTTCTTCTCAAATTATGTAGCGATGTTGTATGAGTTTGGTTTAAAGAATTTAGTAAATTCCGAGAAAACTCATCACTTTTGAAGAACTGACGAAGAGCACAAAATTATGTGTAACCCGCATCCTGAAATGCTTAGTAATAAACTTTTCAAAACAATACAGATTGAGTTTTACTTTTTATTTGCATGCATTTTTTATACATATTTTCTCAAATGAATCATTGTAAATTCAAAGTTCAGTTAAAATCAACATACTAATTATCAGTAAAATATCACGTTACTTAGTGCGACGTTAGTTTATTCGATTGTTTATTTAAGATCTAACATTAAAATTCAGGTAAAGATTGTGGAAATAGTTATTTTTAGGAAATTTGATTTATTTAGATTTAAGAAAAATAAAATACAAAATAAAATATTTCTTTTAAAAGTTTTTCTGATAAATTTATACCTGTCCAAATAAAATCTCACCATAAGAAAGTATATCCAGATAGTATATTAAAAAAAAAATAACGAATTATTCAAATTACTGATCTTGGTTTTTATGTAATAGAATATATATACACGTTCAAAAGGCACGTGGATAGTGGGTCTTAATATTGTTTGAAGTATTGCTTTCTAAGAAAAGATATTCTTTTTATTTAAAAAGTAATAAATTATAGTCAGTTTTGTGGGCTTGACCGAATCAAATAAAAGATTGGCTTATAATAACGTCTGCTTATAAATACAAAATTTAATGGTATTTATTTTACGCGGCAATAGAAGCCATGACAGCGCATGAGCGATTCATCAGGGAAGCGCATTACTATTTACCACTTAAGGAATTAATGGTGTAAGTATCTGTCTATATATCTAAATATAAAACCGAAAAAAAAAAATATATATATATATATATATCTAGACACAGATTTATATGATTTTGTTTTCACACATACACATAATTATATACAGGCAGAGAGCTCAAAGGACTACCAATATATGCCGCGAATTTTTCCCAGGTACTGAAATTTGTCGTTTGACATAAAACCGTGCACTTGTATTTGTGTGCGAGTGCGCCGAGATGAGAGAGAAAAAGAGCGTGCAAATTCACGCGATTGTTGTTGCGAAGGAGAGAGAGGAAGAAGGAAATGCTGCGTATAAGTGTATTTGTGCAGTGACGTGGATGGCGGGGGGGGCGTAGGCATGGAGGGGAGAGAGCAATGCGCGCGTCTAGCTTGTGTTAGTGTGTATAGGTGCGCGGCTGTGTGAAAAGTCGCGAGAGAGAGAGAGAGCGTGAGGGGGCTCTCTCCTGCTGGTTGTCCGCGCGCGCGAGAGTTTGTGCGTTGTTGCTGTGCGCGCGTGTGTAAGAGAGAGACGGGGGAAGAAAAAAGCCAGTTTCCTTCCTTCCTCCGCCTCCTCGGACGCAGCTCGTCCTCGTGCGGTCTGCTGACCGTGAGTTTACCGCGCCAAGTTCTCGGTGGGTTCATCGTGCCCCGCTGTTACTCCACGCTGCTCGAAAGTGTGCAGGGTTCCAAAGTGGTGCTTATAGTGTTCACACTATCTGTTTTGTGTGTGTGCGTGCGCGCCCGTCGCTTGCGCGCGCTATTGCCCGTGCTGTGACTCTATAAGCCAGCCGCACGAGGAGTCGCCGTTCGACGGCAGGTGAGTATCATCGCATGCTGGTGAACAGTTTGGTACGCGAGAACTGGACATTGTTTTGAAGCTGTGTTGCCAAGAGAGTGAGTGAGAGGAAGAGAGAGATAGGAGAAAGACAAGAGAGCTGAGTTGAGGTTAGAAATCTTTCTCTCGTCAACGGTCGAGTGGCTCTCGCGTCGCGCCGTGTTAGAGAGAGACAGAGCGAGAAAGCGCCGCCACCGCCACAGCCGCCACTGCGGTCTGTGCTCCGTGCGCCTCCTAGCTACAGCAGTTTGCCTCCAGAGAGAGAAAGAGAGAGAGCACGGGAATAATGGGCGTGCTGCTGCTGCAGCCGAGTCGTCCTCGTCATAGTCAACGCGCGAGAAAACGTGTGCGTGGGTGATTCTCAGAGCAGAGCGTGACTCGTATCTCTCTCTTTCTCTCTCTCTCTCTTTCTTTCTCTCTCTTTTTCTCTCTTTCTCTCTACAGTTCGCGGTGTTACAAGCACGAGCTCTCGATATTGCGTGTATGTGCGTCCATGCCTACTGGTGCATGTCTGTCTGCCCCTGTGCGCGTACCCTGTCCGCGTCTGGCTCGCTGTTCCCGCGCGGGACCGTGTCCAGAGTACCGCGACTGCGAGCTGCAAGACACCGCGACTATGGCACCGAGCGGATGTGAATCCGCCATCGGACATAACCTCAAAACCAATGCCGTGCCTCGTTGTCGTGCTGATTGACGTAGCCTATCTTTCTTTCTGGCTCGTCCTTCAATTTCTACACTGCTGCTGTTGGTTGCACTTCGCTTGAGTGTCGACGTGTAAACGTGTCTTGCGAGTTTCTTTTCTATCCATGTGTGCGCGGTGCAGTGATTCGCTTCGTCGAGCTTCAGTGATATCAACACACAACGTTGCGAAGGTTGTTGACTTGGATCCTCGTGTGTGTGTCAGTCGAGCTTCGTTGATGACAACAGCCCGACGAAGGTCAATGCACTTAAATACTTTTCGGTGAGAAAAATTCGTGCTTACTCTAGCGCGTTTTGTGTACTACTTAGCGACAGCACAGAGAGCAAAAAAAGTGCAGCGAAGAGCCCAATGTTTTCGTGTACGAGGCAAATCCGACAAGTGTGTCGCGCCGCCGTTACCGCTACTGTTGCTGGTAGCTAGTGAAATTAAATAGACTACAGATGAATTCCGCGTTATTTATCGCGTCAACTTTCTAAAGAGACCGATCCGCCGACTTTGCTTCGAGTTCACCAAAAATTATGTAAAGCTCGCAGGGCTTGAAAAACCGATCGCAGTGCTAGTTACTACAAAAGGTGAAAAAGTATTAAAGACGGGCTGGAATGTCGTGGTAGTATGACGATGATGATAGCCATAGGAAATGAAAGTGCACGCACGAGAGCAAGGAGCTTATAGTGAAACGAGGGCAAATCGTACTGTTCTCCGTTCGTCGATTAGCCACCAAATTGCGTAGGATTTAGTGCAGGCGGTGTTATCGTATTCCACAGTTGTCGCGAGGCTAAAGGTCACCGCCGTTCCTTCTTCCTCTCGACCTCTTACACGGTTTTCTTTTTCTTTCCTTTCTTTTATCTTGTGCCAATGTCGATTTTTCCTTTCTCTAACACAGTTTAAGACTTTTAACTGCATTTTTGGAGCAAGGCAAAATATTCACTCCAAAGTTGCTCGCGAATGGTTGTAAAAATCAGCTGTGCACCAAAAATAGAATAATTAATAAGCTCAATGACTGCTAACTCTTTAAGCAAAGTGTAGACCAACGTATATATTTTCAAAACGAACCTTTATTTTAGTTCAACCTTTTTTCCGTGCTCACTTTACAATTGCATCTACACTGGAGCTGGTTTTCAAATGGCTTTGATAATTTGTTTTCTACATACATCATATTACAAAAATCAAATAAATATTCAAAGTATCGCGTTTATAGTTACTAGTTTACAAAACTAAAAATACGTATGACGCGTGTGAGTCACAGTGATGATTCCTGCTTCATCTCACCTAGCAACAAGCGGTTTTCAGTTTTTTTCCTTTTCGCAAAAAGTAGAACGATAAAAGGTGGATTCGCAAAGGGGCCACTCTTTTTCCCCTATGAAGTCACTGCGGAAACAAGAGCGTTGAGACGGTTGATGCATCGCGAAATAAACATAAATGCGGGTGTTTATCCGCGTCTTCGCAGGGGAGTACACAGTGAGCGTTTGTTTTTCGCGCTCTCGTAGATGTATACTGCGGGGGACGACTCGTCAAGGAAGTAATTAGACACTACTAGAGAGAGAGAGCGAGAGAGAGAGAGAGAGAGAGAGAGAGAGAGAGAGAGAGAAAGAGAGAGAGGTTATTCCTGGAGCCGCCACACGCCTCCTAATTGCTGCCGCCCGTCTCTCTTTCTCGGCTGTTTTTGACTTCCCTATTTCTTATTTACGTATAACGTTATTCCTCTCTATGGTTGCTCGAGCTTTCATTTTTGGTACCTTCGCCAAAAATTATAATCGAATTGTATGCCCACACTTTTATCCATTTTCATAAGTTCTATATGAAAAACTATTTATGTACGTTAATCACAAACCTATCTTAGAAGAGTTGTGGGTAAAAAACATTAACACGAAGTTTAGGCCCAACTATTTATTGATCAATTTTTCATAAATGATTGGAAATTTGAATAATTTGATGCACTGAATAAGGCGCAAGCGATAATTAAAACACTCGAAGCGATAAATCCAATTCGCGAGTACAGATATATGTACAAATAAATTAGGTGCCAAAGCCTTAAACGAAACTTTGGTGTTTCGCCAAAACAGCAAATTGAGATGAACTACTTTCCTCCATGCACGTTAGTATGCGTCGCAAAGGTCACTAATCAAAAACGAGCTGCTGCACGAACGCGAATGTCAATCGTTCGTGTAGCCTAGCGAATCGTTTCTTCTCCAATTTCGCGCAAAACTCAGCACATTCGCGCGACGACTGCTGTAGTGTTCCGTTATACCGTCTCTCTCG